GAGAGAGAGAGAGAGGGCGAGAGGAGAGAGAGAGAGAGGGGGGGTGAAGAGAGAGGGGTAAGAGGAGAGATGAGAGGGGGGCTGAAAGGGGTGGGAGTGAGAGAGAGAGGGGGTGGAAAGAGGGGGGAGTGAGAGGTGGGATGAAAGACAGAGAGTGTGAGGGGGAGAGAGAGAAAGGGGGGTGAGGGGGGGGAGAGGGGGCTGAAAAAAGAGAGTGGGGGGGAGTGAGGGGGAAGATGAGACAGAGACCCCTAGCCCTGTCCCTGTTTGCAGTCCCTCCTCTGTCTGTCCCAGTCTCTGTGGGTAGGTGTGTATGATGCCTACCTTCCATGCCAGCAGTAGGTACCTGCGCCTCTCACCTGTCTTCATCCTCTGGGCCACTGTTACTGTTGAGCCCAGGGTCTGGGAGGCGCCGCTGCTCTGGGGATGCAGCACGTCTTGTGTCCACTGCTGCTCGCCTCTTCGGGGATGCAGTGGAAGTCTTCTCCTTCCTGGGTTCTCAGGCCTCATATGGGCATCACATGTGGAAGCTGACAAAGGAAGAGATCTGGCATCATGGAAGAATGTTGCATGGAAGCTGATAGGTGACAGGTATCCTTGTGGCACCCCTGCTAAGAACTCTTGGTGTGCATGTGCTTTTGGGAAGTAAGTGTTAGAGGTTCCTGAAAGGACTGGGACAATTGCGTGGTCATGCAATGCTACGCCCAAATGAAATGTATGTGCTTTTTTTCCCCACAAATAGAGCTTTCTATTGGTGGTATTTGATGGCCTGTGCATTTTTTATTTTTTTTGCGCTATAAAAAAAAAAGACCAACAATTTTGAGAACATTTTTGGACGTTTTGCTATTAAACATGTCCAATAAAAAAATTTAAAAAATCAAACTTCGTCATAAATTTAGGCCAAAACATATTCTGCTACGTCAAAAATCCCAATACGTGTAAATTCATTGGTTTACGTGAAAGTTTTAGCATTTACAAATGGCGGTATATATACTGGGATTTTTTTTTAATTTTTGCTAGTAATGACTTATAGCGGGACTGCGGTGGGCATTATGACACTGGGGGGGGAACTGACTTGGTGTCAATGACATCCCCAGTGACACCAATACCGTGATCAGTGCTAATGAAAAGCACTGACACTGTACTAATGGCACTGGGCAGGAAGGGGTTAACATCCGGGGAAATCAAAGGGTTAACTGTGTGCATTTTTACTATGTGGGCTGTGTTTCACTGTAAGCACACTGCTTTGTATGGCTCTGCAGAAGCTGACAGGGGAGAGATCTGTATTGTTTACATGCAGGTCTCTCTCCCGTCGGAAATCCTCGGAGATCGCCGGGTGCTGGCGGGTAATCATCGGCTGGGACCTGGGGATTGACAGCCAAGGCTGTGAATGGCGGTGTGGGTTGGGCACGTGCCCCCTTATATGTATGTGAATTTGCACATCCGTGCCGCCCTGTAGCAGTATTTCTGTTAAAGGGCGGCACGGAAGCTGTTAACCGTAAAACCCTCCCTTGTGTAGATTCTGTATCCCAAAACAATGAGACTGCTGCTGAGTGCCACCATCTTGGATGTTATGTCATCAGCAGATTTAGAGTTTGGCACTGAAGGTACACTCTGTAGTATTCCCTCTTTGCTCTTCCCCTGGCAGCTACATAAAAGGATATGTAGGGAGGTGGTGGGAGGGGCATAGGGGCTTGGCCAGCATAGATAGCAAGTAGACATGCCCAGCAGAGAAGAGGGCTATGAGGTGGTAAATAGGAGGGGGAACTGTGGCTATGCAAGAAAATGACTCATTATAGACTGATTTAATTCCAAAGGCATATTGAAAGCGAATAAAAAAAAAAATTGGAAAAGAAAAACGCTGTAATTAAGCATGTATTTTATTAGCAATTTTTTTTTAAATTATGCTTTTTATTATTTCAAGAAACTCTCAGATACAGAGCCATACAGATCAAACATATATCGAACAAATGCATAGCAGAAATACAATGCTTACAGTATTGAAATCTTTGAACGATGTAAGCAATAAATTTAACTAGTAAGTGCTAAAAAGAATAAAAGCAATATAGCCCATCAGCAATTTTTTGAGCTGGCAACAGGGTCTCCATAATCAGCAATCTAAGATTACTAATAAACTGGGGGCACCTGCATGCTCTTTTATTTTTACCCCCATATTGTTCTTTTTTCTATCTTCGGGATTTTTCAAACCTAACTGTGCTGCAAGTAATGACCTGATCTATGATTCCTTGGAGCTTTGGTACCTCTGACCCTGCATCATCCCACTGTCCATAGGAGATACCTATCTATTAGCTGCTGGTTTGCCCAATCAAATAGTTGAACCTCAAACAATGATATACAAAAAAATAATGTTACATTCATTTAACTTGCAGTGTCAGCCAATACAAGTGAAAGGATGGACGCTGCTCAACTGACCTCAGGAGCCAATGTTGAGGAATGTCCTCAGCTGCTGTACTGGCCACACCTTCTGATGCTTTTTGCCCCTCCCATTGGGGGCTTGGTCACGGGAGCATTTTATATTTTCCACAAATCTCCAGCCAAAATGAATTTAAACTTTCACTGACTTGTACTCACCAGCAGGGCTGCTGTTAGAAACCACAGGGCCCCGTACAGCCAACCTGACAAAAAACAACAACTCAGTTTACTATGCTTCAGTTATGAATGAACACAGTGAGTGATCAGTAATGATCATTCATTGTGTTCATTCCTGAAAGGAAGGGCTGGTTAATGTGACATATTTATTGGACCGTTCCCCCACTCTTCATCCTGAAGGATCCTATTGTGTGCTTGCAGCTGGAAGGAGAGGAGGGAAGCCGGCACTGTGGGGGCCCAAGCAGCTGTGTGAATCAAATGTGCACAGGGAGGGTGATCGGCATTGTGGACGGGGGAGGGAATTACTGGAACGTTCCCCTGTAGGGCTCTCTCTGTAGCAGCTGAAAACCAGCGGAAGAAAGGATGGACGCTGATCAACTGACCCCAGGAGTCCAATATTGAGGAATGGCCGCAGCCGCTGTACTGGCCACGCCATCTGATGCATTTCACCCCACCCACTAGGGGCTTGGTCACGGGAGCATTTTACATTTTCTACAAATCTCCAGCCAAAATGAATTTAAACTTTCACTGCCTTGTACTCACCAACAGGGCTGCTGTTAGAAACCACGGGCCCTGTACAGCCAACCTGACAGGGCCCCCACTCTCTATCCTGAAGGATCCCATTGTGTGCTTGCAGCTGTAAGGAGAGGAGGGAAGCCGGCACTGTGGGGGCCCAGGCAGCTGGGTGAATCAAATGTGCACAGGGAGGGTGATCGGCATGGTGGACTGGGGGGGGGGGGGGCAATTACTGGAACAGATCCCCTGTAGGGCTCTCTCTGCAGCTGCTGAAAACCAGGAGGGAGGGAGAGGAGAAGAATCCAGCTTTGAGATGTTGCAGCGAGAGCCATACAGAGGATCAATTCCAATAATTGCCCCCCCCACTGTGCCGATCACCCTCCCTACCCACATCCGATTCACCCAGCTGCCTGGGCCCCCCTGCTGACCTGGACACAGAAAGACTGGTGGTACCCCCTTATCCATGGCCCTGCTCACCAGGGTTCACATCCCTCTGCTTAGGGAGTTGGCTCAGAAAATATTTCAGAAATATGAACAACTTCAGACATCCTAAGCAACGGCCTTTGGAGTACTTCGATTAGCTCTTTATCTTTAGTAACATACTAGCAAAGGGTGCTCCATGTCTGAAACAAGAGTGCTGGAAAGGCCTATTTCGGTATCTGCAGACCAGAAGCAGGTAAAAATATACAACAAAGTTTCATGAAATCTTTACAAAAGCATACAGCTGAGTCAGAGAAGATAGCTTCTCAACAAAAATGGTGTTCCTCAAGCAAACTAGATTAATAATCAGCTACCAGATCTGCATGATATTGCTGGGATTTTCTTATCTTACTTTCTCCGTCACTGTATTACTTTCTTGCACTGATGAATGGTGTATTGAAGATGAATATGGAAAGATGAAATTTATGGTATGCTTTGTACTGTATTTGAACTGCTTGCCTGTAAAAAAAAAATCAAAAAATATTACTGAAAGATAAAAGGATTCACTATCATATATATTTTTAATAGCTAGAATAATGCAATATTCCTTTAGGCTTCCAAGATGCTTTCACATGCTGCTTTCATGTAGGAGACATGTTGAACAGCCTTTGAAAAGCTGCAGATCTATTAATGGGGGGGGGGGGGGGGGTCATAGAAGCAGAGCTATATCACAATCAGAACACTGACTAGTACTACCCATTTAGAATACAGTCAGCTGTATTTGACCCCAGAGATGTTCAGATAAGAGAGCACCAAAAAGCATGTAGCCAATGGGTGCTTCTTATCACAGTGTTACTAAACCCAGGAGCCTGCATTTACTATATCTGGTCTCCCACAGTACACAGAACATGAAAGCGGAATTATTTTAGTAAATATAAACTGCTAAATACCTTTTCTCATCAGCAGTATATAGCAGTTTTGTGACTTTTAGCAGTGTTCAGCAAAGCACTTGTTAAAGCTTGTAGGAGGAGTTTTCTCTAGGAGGATGCAGAACCTCTGTCTGGGCAGTGCTGATTGGCCCTGTTCTGTTCACATGCACTCTCCCAAGAAAAAAAAAAAAAAGGTAAGTACACTCCTATGACCCAAAAGTGAAGTATGGTCAAAAAATCTTTTTTCCATATTTCTCTATTAAGTTGCACACCACTGTAATGTTGGTTCTCTGTTCCATTTGTGTGCACTTTGGTCCAGCTGGGAATCTTCTGTGATGCAGACTGGGACTCCTGACACTGCTCCAATTTGCTGGCTAGTATTAGATAGCTTAAAGTGTCACTAAACCCAGGACCCTGCATTCACTATATCTGGTCTCCCAGGACCCTGCATTCACTATATCTGGTCTCCCAGACCCTGCATTCACTATATCCGGTCTCCCAGGACCCTGCATTCACTATATCTGATCTCCCCAGACCCTGCATTCACTATATCTGGTCTCCTTGGACCCCACATTCACTATATCCGATCTCCCAGGACCCTGCATCACTTATCCCGGACCCCGCATTCACTATATACGGTCTCCCCGGACCCTGCATTCACTATATCTGGTCTCCCCGGACCCTGCATTCACTATATCTGGTCTCCCTGGACCCCGCATTCACTATATCCGGTCTCCCAGGACCCTGCATTCACTATATCTGATCTCCCCCGGACCCCGCATTCACTATATCTGGTCTCCCTGGACCCTGCATTCACTATATCCGGTCTCCCCAGACCCTGCATTCACTATATCTGGTCTCCCTGGACCCTGCATTCACTATATCTGGTCTCCCCGGACCCTGCATTCACTATATCTGATCTCTCCGGACCCTGCATTCACTATATCTGGTCTCCCTGGACCCTGCATTCACTATATCTGATCTCCCCGGACCCCGCATTCACTATATCTGGTCTCCCAGGACCCTATATTCACTATATCTGGTCTCCCTGGACCCTGCATTCACTATATCTGGTCTCCCAGGACCCTGCATTCACTATATTTGGTCTCCCCAGGACCCTGCATTCACTATATCTGATCTCCCGGACCCTGCATTCACTATATCTGGTCTCCCCGGACCCCGCATTCACTATATCTGGTCTCCCCGGACCCCACATTCACTATATCTGGTCTCCCCAGACCCTGCATTCACTATATCTGATCTCCCTGGACCCCGGCAGCATTCACTATATCTGGTCTCCCTGGACCCCGCATTCACTATATCTGGTCTCTCCAGGACCCCATATTCACTATATCTGGTCTCCCTGGACCCTGCATTCACTATATCTGGTCTCCCCGGACCCTGCATTCACTATATACGGTCTCCCCCGACCCCATTCACTATCTGGTCTCCCCGGACCCTGCATTCACTATATCTGGTCTCCATGGACCCCGCATTCACTATATCCGGTCTCCCCCAGGACCCTGCATTCACTATATCTGATCTCCCCGGACCCCGCATTCACTATATCCGGTCTCCCCAGACCCTGCATTCACTATATCTGGTCTCCCAGGACCCTGCATTCACTATATCTGGTCTCCCTGGACCCTGCATTCACTATATCTGATCTCTCCGGACCCTGCATTCACTATATCTGGTCTCCCTGGACACTGCATTCACTATATCTGATCTCCCCGGACCCCGCATTCACTATATCTGGTCTCCCAGGACCCTATATTCACTATATCTGGTCTCCCCAGACCCTGCATTCACTATATCTGGTCTCCCAGGACCCTGCATTCACTATATTTGGTCTCCCCAGACCCTGCATTCACTATATCTGATCTCCCCGGACCCTGCATTCACTATATCTGGTCTCCCCGGACCCCGCATTCACTATATCTGGTCTCCCCGGACCCCCACATTCACTATATCTGGTCTCCCAGACCCTGCATTCACTATATCTGATCTCCCTGAACCCCGCATTCACTATATCTGGTCTCCCCGGACCCCGCATTCACTATATCTGGTCTCTCAGGACCCCATATTCACTATATCTGGTCTCTCTGGACCCTGCATTCACTATATCTGATCTCCCACAGTACACATGTAAATACAATTATTTTAGTAAATATAAACTGCTAAACACCTTTTCTAATCTGCAGTTAGAGCAGTATTGTGACTTCTATCAGTGTCCAGCAGAGCACTGGTTAAAGCTTGTAGTAGGAGTTTTCTTTCTGCTCTAGGGGGATGCAGAACCCCTGAACTCTGTCTGCATAGTCCTGATTGGCCTTGTGTTGATCACATGCACTCTCCAAAGAAAAAAAAAAAAAAAAAAAAACCTCTCTAGCAATACACACCAAACTGAGCATGTGCATTGTGTCTCCTAGGGCTCTGTACTATCTGCAGATGGATTTGGGACTGTAGAAGAAAGGGAGGATCAGAGAAGACAGGAACAAACAGCCTTTTTACATAATGCAGAGGGTTAACCCCTTAGCTTCCATAGTGAGCATAACAAGCATGCTTTACTGCATATACAGACCGATTTTACTGTTTGTGGGTTTAGTAAACGCTTTAAGTTGTAGAAATCTGCTAGTGTACTGATATGCATGGAAACATGTAATGAAATATTAGTAAAAACCACTATGTGTTTCTGAGTGGTATCTCTTCACCTTCTTTAGGATGTAGATCAGTTTTTTTTTTTTGTTTTTGTTTTTTTTTGGTTTTTTTTTTTTTATTTTTTTTTTTCTTTTTGTAGTTATAAAAAGCTGCTTAAGTTGCTTTTTTTTTGTTTTTTTTTTTTTTTTTTGTTGTCTTTTTTTTTGTTTTTTTTTTTTTTTTGTTTGTCTGTTTTTTTTTTTTTGTGTTTTTTTTTTTTCTATTGTTTTTTTTTTTTTTGTTTTTGTTTTTTTTTGAGGTTGTATTTTTATTTTTATCTCTTTTTTTTTTTTTTTTTGTTTTTTTTGGTTTTTTTTCGTAAAACGCAAGGGTTTTTTTTATTTTTTGTTTTTGTATAAAATGCACTCCCACTGGAACTGCTTCGAGTTAAATTGTTTTTTTTGTACTAAAACCTCATTCTTCCTATGGATATTTGTCAGTATCAATTCAAGACAAATAGCATTCTATCGTGCAATTATATTTGTTTTGTTTTTTTGTTTTTTTTTTTTTTTATAGCAATCAAATTACTACAATCATATGTGTTTTTTGTTTTTTTTTTTTTTTTTTGTTTTTTTTTTGTACATATAGCAATCATGAATAGAATGAAATACCTACAATTCAGTAGATAATCAAAAAAGCAAGGTTAGAGCTGGGTGGGAGGATTAGTGCAATTCAAGACCAATAAGAGGGGGGATTTTACAGGGATTACCTAGAAGATTAGTGCTGGGGGGTGGGGATTTGGGGGTGAGAGGATTTGTGATAAGAGGGGGGATTATAGGGATAAGTAGATTAGTGCGGGGGGGGGGATTTGGATGGGTGAGAGGATTTGTGCTGGGGGCAATGGGTGGGTTGTGCTAAGAAGAAGGATTTGGGGGGAGATGAATTGAGCTGGGATTTTTGCTGGGGGAGGAGGAATCCATGGAAGAGGATTTGTGCTGGGGGGTGAAATGGGGGGAGTAAATTTTTCTAGATAAAAGGAGGGATTTGGGTGGGGGTGTCTCTTGTGCTGGGAAGTGGGAAATGATTAGTGCTAGGAGGAGTGGGGTTAGGGCCAGAGAATCTGTGCTGGGGAGGTAGAATTTGAGGGAAGAGGTAGATTTGTGCTTGGAGGTTGAAGTTGTTGGTGCTGATTTGTGCTAAGACTAGACATGTGCAGTTCGTTGCGTTCTGAATCAAAATTCAGGACAAATTTTCCGTTATTCGGATGTATCTGAATTCCGAAATTACAATAGTAACGAATTTAAAATGAATCAAAAAAACTAAATGAAAATTCGGCCAAAATTCAAATCAATTGGAATTTTGAAAAACACATTCGAAAAACATATTCAAAAATTCGAAAAAAAATTTGAAATTTGAAAACAAGAATAGAAAAAAAGAACAGAAAATAAAGAAAAAAAAAAAGAATAGAATAGAAAATAAAAAGAATAGAATAAAAAAAGAATACAGAAAAAAAGAGACAAATAGAAAAATCAAGAATAGAACAGAATACAGTAGAAAATAATAGTGTAAAACAGAACAAAATAGAACAAGAAAATAAAGGAATAGAAAAGAATAGAATCCATTAGAATAGAATAGAAAAATTAGAATAGAAAATCAAAGAATAGAATAGAAAAAAAATAGAATAGAAAAAAGATTAGAATAGTAAATCAAGGAATAGAATAGAAAATAATAGAGTAAAACAGAGCAAAATAGAACAGAATAAAATAAAGGAATATAATAGAATCAAATTAGAATAGAATAGAAAAGATTAGAATAGAATAAAAAATCGAAGAATAAAATAGAAAAGAAAGAAAAAGAATTAGAATAAGAATCAAATAAAAAAATATATAAAGAATAGTAACAAAAAATCAATTAGAATAGAAATAAAATAGAAAGAATATAACTGACTTCCGAAATTGGAATTTTGAAGAGAATGAATTTTGAATTCGAAAAAAAAAAGAAAAAAAAAACATTAGAATAGAATATAAAATATAATAGAAAAGAATAGAAAATAGATATAGAAAAGACTAAAACAATTTACAAAAAAATGTGAGCTGCACTATGGTGAAGTGAGTAGTGATCAACAAAGGCATTGTGAATATTTTGCTGAAAGAGGATTTATGTGTGGAGGGGGGGAGAATTTAGTCCTGGCAGGGGACACATTTGGGGGGCGGGGTAAGGATTTGTGTTGGGCAATAGTATTTGTGCTGGGGGGGGATTTGGTAGGGGGATATTATTTACGTTGCGGAGTGAGATTTGGGAGGAGATTATTTGCGCTGGGAAGGGGGACTTAAGGGGAAAGGATTAATTATTGGGGGGTTTGGTGGAGAAGAGGTATTTGTGCTGTGGGGAAGGATTTGTGCTGGGGAGGGGGGGGGGGTGAAAAGGGAGAGAATTTGTGCTGCTACTGGTTTGGGGAGTCCTATGATTTGTGTCTGGGGAGAAATTTTTGGGAGGAGATGACTTGTTTGTGAGGAGATAATTTGCGTAGAGGGAGGAGATGGCAGAGGATTAGTGCTAGGAGGGGGGATTTGGGGTGAATATAATTTGTGCTGGCCGGGGGGAGATTTGTAATTTGAAGGGGAGTGGATATATACTGGGGGGGATGGGGGAGAGGATTATTGTTGGGATGTAGGATTTAGGGGGAGAGGATTAATGCTAGTAGGTGGGGATGGGGGGAGGATTAATTCTGGGGGTTTTGGGGAAGACAAGGTGTTTACTCTTGGGGGGAAAGATTTATAATCAGAAGTATCATGTGGGCGGGATTTGTGCTAGGAGGGGGAATTTGTGCTGGGAGATGGGATTTAGGGGGGAGAGGATTTGTACTCAGAAGTATCATGTTGGTGGGATTTGTGCTACGAGGGGAATTTGGGGGAATTTGTGCTGGGAGGTGGGATTTAGGGGGCAGAGGATTTGTAATCAGAAGTATCTTGTGGGCAGGATTGTGCTGGGAGGTGGGATTTAGGGGGGAAAGGATTTGTACATTGAAGTATCATGTGGCGGAATTTGTGCTACGAGGAGGAATTTGTGCTGGGAGGTGCGATTTAGGGGGGAGAGGATTTGTAATGAGAAGTATCATGTGGGCGGGGATTTGTGCTGGGAGGGGGAATTTGGGGGGATTTGTGCTGGGAGGGGGGATTTGTGCTGGGAGGTGGGATTTAGGGGGGAGAGAATTTGTACTCAGAAGTATCATGTGGGCGGGATTTGTGCTAGGAGGGGGTATTTGTGCTGGGAGGTGGGATTTAGGGGGGAGAGGATTTGTAATCAGAAGTATCATGTGGGCGGATTTGTGCTAGGGTTGGGAATTTGGG